CTGCTTCAGGCTCTTGAGTTACATGTACTCTTAGCTTTTTCCAGTTTTGGGGATATGAGTGATGCTCTTTCTTACTTTCTCCCTCCTGGGGAGAGCAAGTTAACATACAATTAATAACATTTGACATATACTTAATAAAAAAGATTCTGAATATTGAGTCAGATTGGTTAGTACAACCTTAGGACTTCTCGCTGCCATATTGGCATTTGCGCTTCTCGCTTCTGGCAGTGAATGTAGATTGCATTAACGTCAGGGAGCTAGTGGTCAGGGGACTAGGGCTAGCAACAAGGGTTTGCATGCTCATGCGGCAGAGACAAAGATGAGATGATGGAAGCTCTATCTGGACTGCTTACCAGTTGCAGAACTTGTTCTAAGAGAAAGCTAAGTTCTGTCCAGATGGAGAACTCTGGCAAGCACCCAGCCAAGTCAGTAGGATATCTTCATGTGGCTAACCTTAGGATGGATATGGTAGAGCACGTTAATAGGGTCCAGGACCACCACAAAGGTAGCCCTTCACCCTCAGTGCTATTTCTGGCCCACGTTCTTAAGGTGTGACATTGAGGGTTTGCCACAGTCTATTCTGCCTCCAACCTTTTACAAGAACTGTTAGCATTTGGCGTGTCTCATAGGTAACCATTACTTGGATGCCTAAGGCAAGACAAATCAAATTAAAGCATGTTTTATTTTTCAGCTGCTTTTGTCCAAATCTTCAGTCTTAAACACTATGGGGATGTTTCTACTCACTGTAGAAGTTCCCTTGTCATTGTGCATAGATAGGCCCTCAGAATCTGATGACCGTAGTTCTCAGGTCTCTTTGTTGAGGGTCTTGAGGCATCCTGAGACCCACTGTTAGCACTTGTCTTCCCAAACTAATTTCTGAAACAATTACAGAATAAAACTCGTGGGCTATAAGTATAGAGCACTTGCCTAGCATATGTGAGGCAATGAAGGAATGGACGGAAAATAGAGCTTCTGCCAGGTGCCAGTGGCTCTTGCTTATATTGCTACTCAAGAAGCTGAGATCTGAAGATCAGTTAAAAGTCAGCCTTGGGCTGGGAAGGTGGCTAGTGGTAGAGCGCTTACCTTGCATGCATGAGGCCCTGGGTTCAATTCTTCAGCACCACATAAGCAGAAAAAGCCGGAAGTGGCACTGTGGCTCAAGTGGTAGAGCACTAGCCTTGAGCTGAAGAGCTGAGGGACCAGGGCCCAGTCCCAGAGTTCAGGTCCCCACAACCAACCACCCTCCCCCCCCCCCCCCCCCCCAAAAAAAAAAAAGTCAGCCTTGGCAGGAAGGTCTGAGAGACTATCTCCAATTAACCAGCAAAATGCCAGGCTGGAAACATGGCTCAAGAAGTAGAGTGTGCCAGCCACAAACAAAAAAGCTGATCATGGGGCTTTGAATTCAACTCCCAGTTGTCAGTATTTAAACAGAAAGAAAAAAGCTAGGCACTCATGGATCGCCCCTGTAGTGCAGGCTGAGATCTTGAGTATCATGATTCAAAGCCTGCCTGGGCAGGAAAGTCCATGAGACTTTTTATCTCCAATTAACCACCAGAAAACCAGAAGTGATGCTATGGCTCAAGTGGTTAGAGCGCTCACTTTGAGCTGAAGAGCTCAGGGACAGCGGCCAGGCCCAGAGTTCAGGCCCCACGACCAAAAAAAAAAAGAAGAAAGCTTCTATCAAATATGCGCATACACACACACACACATAGAAGGCTGATGGGAAATAGAAATATTTACAGGTAAAGCCCAATTGGAAAATGTAATTATTTTGTGTGTGTGTGTGTCAGTTAATGTCCTTTCTAATACTGGACTTCAGGATGAAACCAGGCTCAGGTTCCTCTCTACTGGGGTCCAAGAAAGGGTGGAGCAGATTAATTTTTAAGTTGTGGCTGAGCCCAAAACACCTAGTTCCTATCCACACAGATGGGAAAGAAGACAACATTCTGGTTGTCATCCTTGCCTATGATCTCAGCATCTACTGAGAGCTTGCTGACTGCACTTGGCCTGACGCTGCTCCCACTGGCACCTGCCATAACCCCAGTGTCCTTGGACACGAGTGTTCTACTCTACAATCTAGAACCTCCCTCAAGTATGACAGTTCCTCCCAGCAGTCCTCAGAGGAGGCCACATCCTGAGCCTGACGGCCAGGTTGGGCTCTAGGGAAGCCATAGGGCACCCTGGAGCCTGTGGTGCTGGAAAGCCTGACCACCATCTGCGACATGAATAGCCTTGGCCCTTCCCCCAGAAACCCTGAAGGGTCTCAGGGCCTCGCCATGCAGTCAGCCTTGTACTTCTCCAGCCAAGTGTGTCCTTGATGAGAGGCCTCCTCACACCACCCAGACTCTCAGGGCAGCACCCCACACAAGGTTTTGGCGTTGAGGCTTTCTAAATTTTTGGTAGTACTGGGGTTTGACTCAGGGCCTATGTTTTATTAGGCAAGTATCTACTGCTGTACCATACCTTCTGTACTCCTTTGCACTGTTTTGTTTGTTTGTTTGTTTTGTTTTTTCAATAGGCTGTCATTCCTTACCCAGACTCAAATCTGGACTGTGGCTCTTCCCTTTTTTTTCATGCCATAGGTAGAGTGGTTGTGATAAAATGGGGGGGGGGGGTGGAGAGGGGAGTTAAATGGAAATAGAGTCTCATAGATGGACTGACTTTGAATTACTAGGATTACAAGCATGAGCCACCAGTGCCTGGCAGTAGTGCAGTTTTTTGGACTTTTTTTTTTTTTTTCTACTGCTGTCCTGAAACTCTGATCTCAGATAACAGGCATGCTACCAAGCCTTGCTATTGGTTAAGGATGTTTTTTGTTTTTGTTTTTTGGGTTCCGGTCGAGGGGCCTGGGCGCTGTCCCTCAGCTCTTCAGCTCAAGGCTAGCGCTCTACCTCTTGAGCCCACAGTGCCACTTCCGGCTTTTTTCTTTTTGCTTATGTAGTGCTGAAGAATCGAACTCAGGGCCTCAGGCATGCAAGGCAAGCGCTCTACCACTGAGCCACCTTCTCAGCCCTGGTTAAGGATGTCTTGTGAACTTTTGGGCCCTGATTGGCCTAGAACCACAATCCACCCATCTCAACCTTCTAAGTAGCTACTGCATGAACACTAGTGCCCAGCTTTGAGAGTCATTCTTAACCTTAACATCTGTCCGAGATATGAAATAGAGTTATCCTCTGTAGCACCTACACCCATACAAAGCCTCCAGAGCTCATGGCTTGATCCTAAAAGTGTCTCCAGCCACTCACACTGCCTTCTCCACAGGCCTCACCTCCAGAATAAACGTAACATTCCTACTGCATAGCTCCTGGTCCCCTATATGATATTATTTTCTACAGAGGCCACATGTAGTGTGGCCCATGCCTGTGATCCCTATAATAATTATAATGCCTATGATCTCAGACACTCAAGAAATAGACATCAGGAGGATTAAGGCCAGCCCAGACCCAAACAAAAGCAATCTCAGTATCAGACTCGAGCTTGTCATCCAGCTACCTGGAGCATAAATGAGAGAATCCCAGGCCAGCCTGGGTATAAACATAAGATCCTATGCCAAAAATGACTCAAGGACTGGGGACATAGCTCAAGCAGTAGAGTTATCTGTCTAGCAAGCACAAGCCCCTGAATTCAATTCATATGTGTGTGTGTGTATTTTCCCCCTACACAGAAGCTCTGACCACTCACCACATACACACCCATTGGCCCATGATAACATTCCTTTTCCTACGTATTAAGTATTCAGGTCTCCCTTGCCAGGCTAGTCTTTGCTGCTCCCATGCTACTGTATTACCCTGCGAGACTTGTACAGACCTAGAGGTCCTGCACTTCTGTCTCATGTGGCCCTTGGAAGCTCAGTCCACACAACTACAACCTGAAGGGCTGAGTATGGTGGCACAGGGATGCACACACTGTGAGCCTGTGTGCCCTCTGTGTAGGGCATCATCTCAGACTGGAGCTAATAGCTCCCTCTTCACCCCATGGTATTAAGTCTATCTCGGGATGTGCCACCTTTTGATTTCTCCACAGAAATCAGCAAAGTCGATATTAGGGCTGCTCTCTGCAGTTTTGAATAGTGTTAGCTTTATTGTGGATTTGTTGTTTCAGAATGCAAACGAAGGAAGAAAACCAAACTATAGACTTAAGTTTAAAGCCGTTAGCTTCCAATGAAGTAACAGTGATTCCGGGGAAAAACACACGTGGGAAGGACTGAGCAAGAGCAGCACCAAACAGAGCAGAGCTTCTGCCTGAGTTCAAACCCTGTTGGCCCCCATAAGCTTCCGGTCACAAAGCACCAGACAGCTTCTGGTGGGGACAGACCATACATGTGCATCCAGTGTGGGAAATGCTTCAGTCGGAGTTCCCATCTCCTTCAGCATCAGCGAATCCATACTGGTGAGAAACCCTATGTATGCAACATTTGTGGGAAAGCATTCAGCCAGAGCTCAGTCCTCAGCAAGCACAGGAGAATCCACACGGGTGAGAAGCCCTATGAATGTAATGAGTGCGGAAAAGCCTTTAGAGTGAGCTCAGACCTTGCTCAGCACCACAAGATACACACAGGAGAGAAGCCCCATGAGTGTCTAGAGTGTCGCAAGGCTTTCACGCAGCTCTCACATCTCATCCAGCACCAGCGGATCCACACCGGGGAGAGGCCGTACGTGTGTCCCTTGTGTGGGAAAGCCTTCAACCACAGCACTGTGCTGCGGAGCCACCAGAGGGTACACACTGGGGAGAAGCCTCATGGGTGCAGTGAGTGTGGCAAGACCTTCAGTGTGAAGAGGACACTGCTGCAGCACCAGCGGGTCCCACACCGGAGAGAAGCCCTACACGTGCAGCAAGTGTGGCAAAGCCTTCAGTGACCGCTCTGTCCTCATCCAGCACCACAACGTGCACACTGGAGAGAAGCCTTATGAGTGCAGCGAGTGCGGCAAGACCTTCAGCCATCGGTCAACCCTGATGAACCATGAGCGTATCCACACCGAAGAGAAGCCCTATGCCTGCTATGAGTGCGGGAAGGCCTTTGTGCAGCACTCACATCTGATCCAACACCAGCGGGTACACACAGGGGAGAAACCCTATGTGTTGTGGGGAGTGCGGACACGCTTTCAGTGCTCGCCGGTCTCTGGTCCAGCATGAGAGAATTCATACAGGCGAGAAGCCGTTCCAGTGTACCGAGTGTGGCAAGTCCTTCAGCCTAAAGGCAACTCTGATCGTGCATCTGAGAACCCACACTGGTGAAAAGCCCTACGAGTGTAACAGCTGTGGCAAGGCCTTCAGCCAGTACTCAGTGCTCATCCAGCACCAGCGTATACACACAGGGGAGAAGCCCTATGAGTGTGGGGAGTGTGGGCGTGCCTTCAATCAGCACGGGCACCTGATCCAGCACCAGAAAGTACACAAGAAGCTGTGAGGTGACTGGCCTTCAGGGACCAAGCTGGAAAACGCACCAGGACACAGACAGCCTCCCAGGGAAGGAGGAGCTCCTGTGAACACTGCGGGACTCCCTTCACCTGTGACCATGTCACAGGCCAATCCTGTGCCTCCCCTGTGTAAAGACTAAAGAGGGTAGCCTTTGTCTTCTTTATCATCTTGAAGTTATATTGGTGAGTCATCCTAGGATTAAGATATTGATATAAAGATAGCCACAATACTTTTTTGGTTTGACAATAGTTTGACATGAGTAAGGAAGGGCTCTTATCCCAAAAAAACTTTCTTCCATTCCAAATAAAATGCTTTATTTTAGGTTGCTATATGCTTTTACTAAATATAACCATTCTACTTATTCTAGCATACTGGACTATTAAAACCCTGAAGTGTGTTGAATAGGATGTCACTGGATATGGTGAAAGGGCTGAAACTGAAGTATAACAAAATGCTTGTTTTGCATGAAAAAAAAGGAAAGTAAAGCTTTGTCACTGAGAACTTATGTAAAATTTAAAAAGCTTATCTGATGCTTCATAAAAATTCAACTGAAATTCAGCTAACAACTGGTGGCATAAATCCTGTAATCTTGACACTCCACAGGCTGATAGAGGATTGTACATTTATGGCCAGCCTGGGCTACATTAACTTCTGGTTAATAAACCTTAGTTGAACCATAGAATTCCACCCCTGGCCCACAAATGGCATGTCCTTTTCACATTACAAAAAAAAAGTAGCCAGGTGCCAGTAGCTTATGCCTGTAATCCTAGCTACTCAGGAGACTGAGATATGAGGATCATGGTTCAGAGCCAGCCCGAGCAGGAAACTCCATGAGACCCTTACCTCCAATAAACCACCAGAAAACCAGAAGTGGCACTGTGGCTCAGAAGCGGGTAGAGCGCTTGCCTTGAGCTGAAGAGTGTATGGAAAGCACTCAGGTTGAGTTCAAGCCCCGTGACTGAGCAAAAAAAAAAAAAATCCATCCCACTAGCTCTAAGATTTTAATTCATTCTAGCATTGCTAAAAACTCAGCCTAAGCCAGGTGCCAGTGGCTCACGCCTGTAATCCTAGCTGAGATCTAAGGATTGAGGCTCAAGGCCAGCCATGGGCAGAAAAATCCTAAAAGTCCTGAGACTTATCTCCAATTAACCAAGAGAAAACTGAAGTGCCACTGTGGCTCAAGTGGCAGATGACTTGCCTTGAGCCCACGATCCCAGGGACAGTGCCCAGGCAGAGTTCAAGCCCCACAACTGACAAAAAGTCTAAGCCTAAATTCTTACGAGATTCAAATTCAACTTCCAGCTGTAAGCATGGGAAAGTTTTTGAAGGTAATGCTAGGGACAGGAGGCAGGTAGGGGTTGCATTGACCAGGAAGCATTGTACTCATAACCTGACTTAGGGAATTATAGCTCCTATGTACAAGTATTTAATGGGGCGGGGGGGGGGGGGGGGGAGAGGGAACAAGTGGTATACTTCTCAGATACAGTGGTCAGCAAAAGCAGCTCAGGTAATGTCCACATCCTGAGTTCAAGCCCCAGGCCTGGCAAAGAAGTATTCTCTCCATATATTGTATTCTCTCCATATATTGGAGAAAGTATAGAATGCTTCATAATAGCAGGTGCTAAACTGTCAGTCTGGGGATACATCAGACACAAGTTAGTAGAGCTGAAACATCTCCTTAGAAAAAGCCTCCTCTGGGGCTGGGAAGGTGGCTCAGTGGTAGAACGCTTGCCTTGCACGTACATATGATGCCCTGGGTTTGATTCCTCAGCACCCCGTAAGCAAAAGGAAAAAAGCCAGAAGCGGTGCTGTGGCTCAAGCCTTGAGCTGAAGAGCTGAGGGACAGAGTTCAGGCCCCATGACTGGACCCCAAAAAAAGAAAAAGCCTCCTCTGTATGAATCCTACAAAAATTCTTGGTAATGTAATTTAATGTTACCAGATGCTTGTGTGCAAAGTAACAGCACAGCTGTTTAAAGAAAATCAAGTAAAATTACAGTATATGTATACAGAATTTTTTTTTTTTTTGTCGGTTGTGGGGCTTGAACTCTGGGCCTGAGTGCTGTCCCTCAGCTCTTCAGCTCAAGGCAAGGGCTCTACCACTTGGGCTATGGCACCACTTCCGGTTTTCTGGTGGTTTATTGGAGATGAGTCTCACAGACTTTCATGCCCAGGCTGACTTTGAGCTGATATCCTCAGATATCAGCCTCCAGAGTAGCTAGGATTACAGGCGTGAGTCACTGGTGCCCAGCTATATAGATTTTTAAGAAACACAGGCAACATTAGGTGTAATAGTCATGAGTTGAAAAGATTAGTCAGAAAAGGTATCTCTGAAGCCATGAACCTACAGCCTTGGATCCAAACAGCTTATTTTCACGTCTTGGGGATTGAACTCAGGGCCTGGCCTGGGCACTGTCTAAGCTGCTTTTGCTCAAGGCTAGCACTCTACCACTTGAGCCACAGTGCCACTGCTGGCTTGTTTATGTAGTACTGAGGAATCGAACCCAGGGCTTCACGCATACTAGGCAAGCACTCTACCACTAGGCCAGTCCCAGCCCAAATTTTAAATGCTTTTTTTTTTTTTCAGGTCCAAGACTAGGACTCAAACTCAGTACCTGCCAAGCAAAGTGCTTACCTAGCAGGTATAATGCTGAATTCGGTCTCCAGTACCACTAAATAAAAAACTGGGCATCCTGGGGCCTGCTTGTAATCCCAGAATTCCAAGGTCTTAGCCAGAATAGTTTTGAAAGCCAACCTGGGCTACTTGGCAAGAACTCAAATAAACAGCCAGGTGCTAGTGGCTCATGCCTGTAATCCTAGCTACTCAGGAGGCTGAGATCTGAAGATCACAGTTCAAAGCCAGCCCAGGCAGCAAAGACTGTGAGACTCTATCTCCAGTAAACCACCAGAAAACCTCAAGTGGTAGAATGCTTGCCTTGAGCTGAGGAACAGTGCCCAGGCCGAGTTCAAACACCATGACTGACCAAACAAAAAAAGACACCAACCCAAGTCCCAGCTCGTTATGCCATGGTTTTGAACCCGTCCTTGGGGAGCAAACCCCTAGTTTGCTCATCTCACTGGTAGTCCCTTCAACCTTTATTCTACCAAAAGGCTCCACAGCATGATCCCTAACCCTGAAACCACAGAAACATAAGTAAGCACAACATAATAACCAAAGACATGTTTTATTGATCCCTTCCGCTTCAGTTCTCTTTCTCCTGCACAGTCTTGGTTCCACGGAGCCGCCCAGTCCGACGGGCCGCGATGAGACCCACTTTACGTCCAGCAGGGGCATCTCTACGGATGGTGGAGGGTTTGCCGATGTGCTGGTGGTTACCACCTCCAAATGGATGCTCCACAGGCTAAAGGCAAAGGGAGATGATGGCATTAGTGTAAGGGTGACCCCACTTTGCTCTGGGAAGGCTATAATAGGATCAAGTGTGCCCTTTGGCTACAAATCGCCATTTAGTGGTTCTACTACAAATATTCCCCAGGAGGGGACAGCCATAAGGCACTTTAGCCCCAGGTACTCCACTCCCCATTTCTAGAATACTTACATTCATGGCCACACCCCGTACACGGGGCCAGCAGTTCCTCTTGGCCTTATACTTGTGGTAGGCACGGCCAGCCTTCAAGATAGGTTTGTCAATTCGGCCTCCCCCAGCCACTACACCTGTAGGAAAGATCACATACCTCGAGGATGTGCATCACAGGATACCAGTTAAAACCTCCACTGGCCCTCTACCAGTTCCCTACATCTCTGCAATGATCACTCTCAAAAGACTCTCACAACCACCAGATAGAAACCTTAGTAGACTCCATCCTAGGGAGTCTACACATACAGTGAACTAACACAGAAACCTCTTTCATCTCTCAAGTCAAACCACTCTCCATCAAGTTGAATACTTAATGAGACCAGCTGCCCAGGGATGCCAGAACATCCTCAACATCTGAGCACCCCCCTCCCCAACGTGACAAAGCCCACTGCAGACAGCCTTACTTATTTTGTGAACATAACCCTGGAATGAAAACACTGAACAGGACTCAACTTACTTTTTTTTCAGTCACAATTACCTGACATTATAATCTCTGAAACTATAAAGTTAACAAACTTGATCCAAGCACAGGAAATAGAAATTGTTTAGTAACTAAGTCTAGAGCAGAAACTTCAAACCAGCAGTGAAATATATATGCTGCCTACTCTAAGTCAATACAACTGATGCTGTCAAAAAAAAGTCATGCCAGGTAGTTCACGTCTGTAACCCTAGCTACTCAGGAGGCTGAGATCTGAGGATTGCCAATAAAAGCCAGCCTGGGCAGGTAAGTCTGAGACTCTTATCTCCAATTAACCACTCAGAAAACCGGAAGTGGCCTAGTGGCTCTAGTGGCAGGGCGCTAGCCTTGAGCTGAAGATCTGAGGGACAGCGCCCAGGCCCAGAGTTCAAGCCCCATGACACACCAAAAAAAGAAAAAAAGTAGTCATTCAAGTTCCAGAGTCTAGTACTTCTAGACTGCTAGTGTTCAGTGTGACCTGTCTGGCACTCACCAACAACAGCTCTGTTGGCAGAAGAGATGACCTTCTTGGAGCCGGATGGCAGCTTCACACGGGTCTTCTTGGTCTCGGGATTGTGTGAAATGACAGTTGCGTAATTCCCGGAGGCCCGAGCCAGCTTGCCCCGGTCCCCAGGCTTCTCTTCCAGACAGCACACAATAGTACCCTCAGGCATGGTGCCCACGGGAAGAACATTGCCAATGTTGAGCTGGGCTGAAACAGAAGTGGTACCGAGAAGTCAAAAGCAACGTGAAACATCCCAGGCAATCCCCAAAGCGGCGATGGCAGCGCCCAACGTCAAGCCCTCAGTCTCTTTCAAGGGTTTCTATATTGATTTCTCTCTCAGGCCCAGTCGACCCCACATGGATCGCCCACTTGAGGCCTCCGCCAGCAAAGGTTCCAGCGGAGCCGAAACCGACGACGCCAAGCCGGCGCCCCACCTCTCCGCAAGGCTCACCCTTCTTGCCACAGTACACGAACTGGCCCGTGTGGATGCCCTCGGCCGCTATGAACAGCTCCGTCCGTTTCTTGAACCGATAGGGGTCGCGGAAGACCACTTTGGCGAGGGGCGCCCCGCGGCCGGGGTCGTGGATGATGTCCTGGGGAAGGCAGCAGCGTGACGGCGCGGCCGTCGGGGGCCCCGTCCCCCGCCCGCCCGCCCGCCCGCCCGGCGGCCCCCGCACCTTCACGATGCCTTTGATGTAGCCGTGCCTCTCCGCGAAGTCCACGGCGCGCAGGCGTGCGGCGCCCTTGCGGTGCTTCACGTGCGCGCGGAACACGGAGCCTGCGCCCTTCCTCTGCCCGCGGATCACACGGCCCATAGCTGCGGGTGTGAAGGCGGCCCAGCGTCAGCGCCCCGTCAACCCCAGGGCCCGGGACCGGCCCCAGGGCCCGGCACCACCCCCCCGGGACGCCCCCGACTGCTGCCCGACACGCGCCCGCGCCTTCAGACGAGGCGCCTGGGGGGCAGGTCGGGACCCCGCTCCACAAGCGACAGCAGACAGTGGCAGAAGGCGGCGGATGGCGGCGGATGGACACAAGGCCAAAACGCCAAGCGGCCTCTTACCTGCTTCCGAGCGCGGCCGAAAGAGGAAAGGGCGAGCCGGCGAGCCGCCTTATCTTCCGGGGCGTGGTCAGAGGCGGCGGCGGCTTCCTGCCGCAGTGCACTCCGGGATGTGTAGTTGCCTGCGCCTCCCGCTGCCCGGGCTCCCGCGCAGGCGCACTAGGGAAGGTGCCGAGGTACCCGGCGCCAAGGGCGCGGTAGTGTGGACAGGCGGCGCGCCCTCGTGGCTGAGGAGTCCTCTTCTGGTTGCGGCTTCGTCCGGGACACGGGAGGAGAGCTACTCCAGCCTCGAGGGCCGGGCCGGGCAGGGCCGGGCCTGGGTGGAATGAGGGTCCCTCTGACCAGGGCGCGCCGGGGCGGCGGAAGCTGGACGGCGCCGCTTTGCGGAGCGGGAACGCGGGTCCACCGCCTGCCTTTCGGCCGCTCTCGCTCGCTGGGCCTTAGGCCGCTGCGGGGTCGGGAAGAGGCACCCAGGGGCCTGGAGGGAGGCGCCAGGGCGGGCCAGGGGAAGAGCCCGCCGCTTGCCCGGGGCGGGGGCCGCGCCCTGCCGCCGGCCACTGAGGGGTCTTCTCTGGTGCTGGTGTCGGCGGCGGCTTGAGCTCGGGCCCCGGCGCAGGCGCAGTTCCCGAGCCGCTTCGTGCTCGGCGCTGGCGCTCTGCCGCCTGAGCCACAGCGCCAGGCCGGGATTGGCGACAAAGGCCGCAGAAGGCGAGGAGCCCCCGACCGGAGATGAGGAGGCTCTAGGAAGGCTAGGGGCCGGGGAACGGCGGGCAGGACCGTTTTTCCGGAAGAGAATTGTAGACACCAGCCACTGTGGGCTCCCGGAGTGGCTGAATGAGGCCAGCCCCGGCAGACTCCACGAGAAACTCGGGCCGCCCCTCCTCCGTTCTGTGTGCGCACTGCAGTTATCGGGCACGGACCTCAAGCTCTTCAATTTTTTTGCTCAAGGCTGGTGCTCAGTTACTTGAACCATACTTCTGGCTTTTTGCTGGTTAACTGGAGGTGAGTCTCTTCGACTCGTCTGCTGAGTCCAGCTTCGAACCAAGAACTTCTAATCTCAGCTTCCTTAGTATCTATAATTACACACTGGCACGCCACTGTTCCTTAGTCTAGAAGTGGCTCAGCCCTCCTGGCTAATGGTGTGACATGAAGCAGGGGCTCCACAGGCATGGTTCACCTGATGGAGGCGGCCAGTTGTGTGGGGGCATTCCTCTCTAGCCATGGAGCTCTTGGGCACTCTCTGGATGTCCCAGAGACCCTCTAGTGCCAGTACTTGCTAGGCAAGCACACTACCACTTAACTCACTCCTCTTGCTTTATTGCTTTATTTTCTTTTTTTTTTTTTTGCTAGTCATAGTACCTGAACTCTGGGCCTGGGCGCTGTCCCTCAGCTCTTCAGCTCAAGGCTAGCGCTTTACCACTTGAGCCACAGCACCACTTCCAGCTTTTTCTGCTTATGTGGTGCTGAGGAATCGAACCCAGGGCCTCATGCATACAAGGCAAGCGCTCTACCACTGAGCCACCTTCCCAGCCCCTAGCTTTTTTGCTTTATTTTCAAACAAGATCTTTTCTATTTTGCCAAGGCCCTCATGTACTGTGATCTCCCTGATTATGCTTTGTGCACACCTGGGATTACAGATGAACATTTCTGCATCCTTCTTTTATTTTTTGGTTGAGACGGGGCTTTAGGTACATTTTGCTGGAGCTGGTCTCCAACTGTGTTCCGCCTCGCACAACGCTACGATTTACAGGCATGAGCCATCACACCTAGCTTAAAATTGTTTTTTTATAAAGTCTTCAGCCGGGCGCAGGTGGCTCACGTCTGTAATCCTAGCTACTCAGGCTGAGATCTGAGGATCACACAGTTCAAAGCCAGCCTAGGCAAGAAAGTCCATGACACTCATCTCCAGTAACCTACCAGAAAAACGGAAGTGGTGCTGTGGCTTAAGTGGTTGAGTGCTCACCTTGAGCTGAAGAGCTGAGCGACAGTGCCCAGGCCCAAAGTTCAAGCCCCCCACAACTGACAAAAAAAAAAAGCTTCAACTCTCATTCCTGTAGGGGAAGTAGGATGTTTCTCTCTTCTCCATTCCTCCTTACTTTATCCTGTTAATCTAAAGTAACTTTAAAAATGTTCTTAAAGTGATTCTTTTTTAGTACTAAGTTTTTTTAATTGGGAAAATAACGTACAGAGGGTTACAATTACATGAGCAAGGTAATGAGTACATTTCTTATCTAGCATTGTTGCCTCCTCCTTTGTTTCCCCTTCCCATTCCTACCCTCCCACCATTAAAGTGATTCTTGTGGCATACACATATTTTAGTGCCAGTAATCATGGACCTCTGTCTTGCTTGCCTTGGCTTCTGTTCCCCAACAGCTGTAGCTGCTGGAGCTAAAACTGGACCTCCATCTCTCACCCTGTACAAAAATCAACTCTAAATGGATCAAAGAGCTTAAAGACCTGAAACTTCATTATTATCTTCTTTTGTTATTAGCTTACATTATATAAGGGAAGATTTCGTGTTACATTTTCACATATTTACAATACATTCTGATCAATCTTACACCCTAACCCTCTATCACTCTTCCCTTAATCCCTTACCAAAAGAACTTCCACAGATTTCATCGCTGTTTTCATAGTTGCAAACTATCTACTTCAACCATATTGCTCCTCTTTCATCTATCTTGTTAGCCAAACCCTCCCACTAATACAAGCCACACATAGAATGTTTCTCTTTCCCCATCTGCCTATTGATCAACAGCTTGTACTGAGATTCTTTGTGCTGTTTTCATATATATTTGCATTTCAAAATTACTTTTTCCCTTCCCCATTCCTCTTCTCCTAAGTAATGCCTTAGATTCATGTTCTATATATAATTATATTGGTAGGTGACTTTCTGGAATATTAATTTTCTTCCCTCTGGAATATATGCCCAGTAGTAGTATTGTGAGATCATAAGGAAGATCTATTTTTTATCTTTTTGGTGGTGGTGGTCGTCGTGGGGCCTGAACTCTGGGCCTGGGTGCTGTCCCTCAGCTCAAGGCTAGCACTCTACCACTTGAGCCACAGTGCCACTTCCAGCTTTTTCTAAAAGCTTATGTAGTGCTGAGGAATTGAACTCAGGGCCTCATGCATGCGAGGCAAGCACTCTACCACTGAGCCACCTTCCCAGCCCCAGGGAGATCTATTTTTAATCATTTTTTTTTGTTTGTTTTTGTCAGTCGTGGGGCTTTAATTCGGCCTGGGCGCTGTCCCTCAGCTCTTCAGCTCAAGGCTAGCACTCTACCACAAGAGCCACAGCGCCACTTCCAGTTTTCTGGTGATTAATTGGAGATAAGAGTCTTAGGACTTTCCTGGCTGGCTTCAAACCTCAATCCTCAGATCCCAGCCTCCTGAGTAGCTATAGGCATGAAGCATGCAAGAAGCTTTCATAGCTGCAGCACATGCCTTCTAGATTTTGTTCATGCTCACCCACTTTTCTTGGAAAGTTCCTTCCTCCAACCTCCTATACTAACTCACTGAAATCTATTAGCAATTAGGAAAAACATGCCAAATAAAATTTATTTCAAAACTATTAAAACAAAATCACACGCTTACAATCCAGACCCTCAATAGAAGCCTGCTACATAGGAGGTGGGACTTCACACCAGCTGGAATGCCTGACACGTGAGGGCTCAGTCCTGCAGTCTGCGCTCACACTTCTTTTCCAGCTCTACCACTTCTTTCAAGACCAGGGCCACACTATACCGAAGTTCCTGGAACTTAGCTGTGGGGACCTCCAAGCGGTAGGCAGATCCATCTGAGAGGTTCAGCTGCATCAGCACACTTGGCTGTAGGGAACGGGCCAGGGCACTGGTGGAGATTGCCACATCCACCCGCCATCGGAGACTGGAGATGTGGGGTAGCCAGGCCCCTGGCTGCTGGGCCACACAGTCCAGCAGGGGCCGCTGTCCCCCAAATACTACGCCGGCCAAGTCTCCAACCAGGTCTGAGGGAATGCCAAGCTCCTGGAGCTGGTCTTTGAAGATGTCTACCTTCAGGCTACTGGGGGGCAAACGGAGGGCCTGCTGGAGGAGTGTGTATGTACCTCCAAGTAGGAGACCCAGCTGTTCCTCCGGGAAGGTGGCACTGGCACTGAGGTGCTGTACGGCTTCTCGGCAGTCCTCCCCTTGCAGGCTGCAAACTACAAGCTTCAGCAGCTTTTTGAATGTGCTTCTGTCCAGACTTTCCAGGACCCTGGTCATTGCTGCCACTTCTGGAGGCAGCTGGGGCCCCAAGAAACTGGCCTGGCCAATGTGACTGTCTGCTGGGTGATGCAGGTATGGAGCTGTAGCCCCCAAGCCGGACATCCTGCTTCCTCTTCCTTGATCAGCCCAAGTGGAGCCGCCGCCTGGAGCAGGTAAAAGAAGACAATGATTCACATCCCCAGGTGTCAAAGACCAGGAAAAAAGACTCCTAGGATCCTCACCCTCAGAATGCGGACTGAGAACTACCAAGTAAGTGTGAAGAATGCCAGGGAGGCGGCCAGATGAATCCCAGTGCCAGGGAGGTCTCCCAGAGGAAGTGACCTCTGAGGTGAGCGGAGAGGAGAACCAAGGAGCAGGAAAGCCCTCGAGCGTCCTCGAAGTCAGTCACAGGGCAGCTGAGGCCCCGTCACCACTCACGCCAGAATCCTCCCAATGGGCTGCCAGCGCGAAGGATCCTCACCTCAGACAGGGCGCCGCGGCTGGGGCTGCGCGGGCTGCGGACCTGCGTCCTCGCGGCCCCTTCCCGGCAGGGTGGCCCCGCTGGCTCTCCCCCGCAGGGCCCCGGCCCCGACTCCGCGCGGAAGGGGCCGCGCTCGGCGCCCAGCCTCGGACAGACCGCCGCCCCGCGCCGCCGCGCCGCCGCCCCGCCGCCCCGCCGCCCGGCCCGCCGCCCGGCCCCGCGCCGCCGCCCCGCCGCCCGGCCCCGCGCCGCCGCCCCGCCGCCCGGCCCGCCGCCCCGCCGCCCGGCCCCGCGCCGCCGCCCCGCTGCCCGGCCCCGCCCCGCCGCCCGGCCCCCCGCCCCGCCGCCCGGCCCCGCGCCGCCGCCCCGCCGCCCGGCCCGCCGCCCGGCCGCCCTGCCCCGCCCGCGCCGCCGCCCGGCCCCGGCCCGCCGCCCGGCCCCGGCCCGCCGCCCCGCCCCCCGCCCCGCCGCCCGGCCCGCCGCCCCGCCGCCCGGCCCCGCGCCGCCGCCCCGCCGCCCGGCCCCGCGCCGCCGCCCCGCCGCCCGGCCCCCCGCCCCGCCCCCCCGCCCCGCCGCCGCGCCGCCCCGCCGCCCGGCCCCCCGCCCCGCCGCCCCCCGCCGCGCCGCCGCCCGGCCCCCCGCCCCGCCGCCCCCCGCCGCGCCGCCGCCCGGCCCCCCGCCCCGCCGCCCCCCGCCGCGCCGCCGCCCGGCCCCCCGCCCCGCCGCCCCCCGCCGCGCCGCCGCCCGGCCCCCCGCCCCGCCGCCCCCCGCCGCGCCGCCGCCCGGCCCCCCGCCCCGCCGCCCCCCGCCGCGCCGCCGCCCGGCCCCCCGCCCCGCCGCCCCCCGCCGCGCCGCCGCCCGGCCCCCCGCCCCGCCGCCCCCCGCCCCGCCGCCCCCCGCCGCGCCGCCGCCCGGCCCCCCGCCCCGCCGCCCCCCGCCGCGCCGCCGCCCGGCCCCCCGCCCCGCCGCCCCCCGCCGCGCCGCCGCCCGGCCCCCCGCCCCGCCGCCCGGCCCCCCGCCCCGCCGCCGCGCCGCCCCGCCGCCCCCCGCCCCGCCGCCGCGCCGCCCCGCCGCCCGGCCCCCCGCCCCGCCGCCGCGCCGCCGCCCGGCCCCCCGCCCCGCCGCCCCCCGCCGCGCCGCCCGGCCCCGCGCCGCCGCCCGGCCGCCCGGCCGCCCGGCCCCCCGCCCCGCCGCCCCCCGCCGCGCCGCCCGGCCCCGCGCCGCCGCCCGGCCGCCCGGCCGCCCGGCCCCCCGCCCCGCCGCCCCCCCGCCGCGCCGCCCGGCCCCGCGCCGCCGCCCGGCCGCCCGGCCGCCCGGCCCCCCGCCCCGCCGCCCCCCGCCGCGCCGCCGCCCCGCCGCCCGGCCCCCCGCCCCGCCGCCGCGCCGCCCCGCCGCCCGGCCCCCCCGCCCCGCCGCCGCGCCGCCCCGCCGCCCGCCCCGCCGCCCGGCCGCCCCGCCGCCCGGCCCCCCGCCCCGCCGCCCCCCGCCCCGCCGCCCCGCCGCCCGGCCCCCCGCCCCGCCGCCCCCCGCCCCGCCGCCCCGCCGCCCGGCCCCGCGCCGCCGCCCCGCCGCCCGGCCCCCCGCCCCGCCGCCCGGCCGCCCTGTCCCCCGCCCGGTCCCCCGCCCGGCCCCCCGCCCCGCCGCCCGCCCCGCCGCCCGCCCCGCCGCCGCGCCGCCCGGCCCCCCGCCCCGCCGCCCGGCCCCGCCGCCCCGCCGCCGCGCCGCCCGCCCCGCCGCCCGGCCCCCCGCCCCGCCGCCCCCCGCCCCGCCGCGCCGCCCCCCGCCCCGCCGCCCGGCCCCCCGCCCCGCCGCCCCCCGCCCCGCCGCCGCGCCGCCCCGCCGCCCCGCCGCCCCGCCGCTCCGCCGCCGCGCCGCGCACCTGGGGCGAGAGGGCCTCAGAGAAGCGGGGCCGGCCCCCGGAAGCGCACGGAGACGCGACCGGGCCCGCTCTAGGATTCCGGGAGGCGGGGCCGGAAGCGGGGCCGGCCCCCGGAAGTGCGCGAGACGCGCCCGCCCCGCTCTAGGAGTCCGGGAGGCTGTCCTGTAGGGTCCGGGCGGGGCCAGAAGTGGGTCCCCTTACCGGGCCCCGGGCCCCGGCGCAGCGCCCCGCCACGCCGCCTACGACGCCAGGCCTCGAGCTGTGAGCTTCCGGGTCGCCATCTCTGGAGCGCGAGCCACACCCTGCCAGAGGCACTCATCTCCCAGGACTGCCCTAGGAAAGCAGCGCCGCAGCTCGGTGCCTGAGCCCCGCACGCAGAGTCTGAGTCAGCCGGCGTGCCCAGGGTCTCGGGCCGGCCTCGGGCAGCTGCCCTCGCGCCCCCTGGGCTGGCCCCTCCAATCTCTGCCTGCTCGTGGTGCTCCCGTTGGGCCTCTGTAAACCACCAGTCACTGGCTTAGGGCCAGTCTTACTCTGGTCTGACACAATGGAACCCAGAGCGAAGAATGCGCCTAACAGCTGAACTTATAATAGCCAAAGCACTACAACACAAATGCCCATCAACAGAGGACCAGATCAACAAGAAACAGAATAGACCATTGTTCCCTAAAATGCAATGCTAAGAAACCAACTGGGCACTGATATCTCACACCTGTAATCCAGCTACTCAGGAGGCTGAGATTCTGAGGATCAAGGCCCAAAGCCAGCCTGGGCAGAAAAGCTCATGAGACTCTTCTATCCAGTTAACCAGCAAAAAGCCAGAAGTGGAGGTTTGGCTCAATTGGTAGAGCGCTGTCTTTGAGAAACAAAAAAAAAGGCAGGGAGGGGAATCCTGAGTTTGAGCCCAGATACCAATGCATGCAGGTGTGTACACACGCACACACCCACACAGAGGCTTTTCCTGTGTTCTAATTTCACCAGGCTAATGTTCTGTCACGTTGAGCCACAGCTTCACGTGCAGCCTTTTGAGGGTCAATTAAGAGTCTTGTGGACTTTTCTGCCTGGGCTTGCTTTGAACCACAATCCTCAGATCTCAGACTCCTGAGTAGCTAGAATTACAGGTATGAGCCACTGGCACCTAGATTTTCCTACAATTTTTATTTCCATGACATTGTCCCTTTTTGTTGAGGGGGGGTGTACAGTGTACGTAGGGGCTTGAACTCAGGGACTGGGCACTGTCTCTTACCTTTTTCACTCAAGTCTAAAATTCTAGCACTTCAGCCATACCACCACTTTGGCTTCTTTTGGGTGATCAGTTGGAGAGAAGAGTCTCATAGACTTTCCTGACTAGACTTACTTCAAACCAGGATCCCCAGATCTCAGTCTCCTGAGTAGTTGGAATTATAGGAGCAAGGGCTGGGAAGGTGGCTCAGTGGTAGAGTGCTTGTCTTGAATGTATGAGGCCCTGGATTCCATTCCTCAGCACCACATAAGCAGAAAAAGCCAGAAGTGGTGCTGTGGCTCAAGTGGTAGAGCGCTAGCCTTGAGCTGAAGAGCTGAGGGACAGCATTCAGGCCCAGAGTTCAAGCCCCACAACCAACAAAAAAGGGAAAAAAAGGTACACTCTGAAGCTACACACTAGTGGCTCACGCCTGTAATCCTAGCTACTCAGAAGGCTGAGATCTGAGGATCACTGTTCAAAGCCAGCATTGGCAGGAGACTCATATCTCCAATTAATACTGGAAGTGGCACTGTGGCTTAAGTGGTAGAACACTCACCTGGACAGTGTTCAGGCCCAGAGTTCAAGCCACACAATTGACAAAAATAAAATTTTTATTTTTTCCCAGTCCTGTGCTTGAATTCAGGGCCCGGATACTGCCCTAAGCTGCTTTTTGCTCAAAGTTATCACCCTACCACTTGAGTCACAGTGCCACTTCCAGCTTTTTCTGTTTATGTGGTGTTGAGGAATTGAACTCAGGACTTTGTTCATTCTATACCACTAAGCCACATTCCCAGGCCCATAATAATTGTGTTTTGTTTTTCATCATGGGGCTTGAACTCTGGACCTGGGCACTGTCCCTCAGCTCTTCAACTCAAAGCTAGAGATCTACCACTTGAACCACAGCACCACTTCTGGTTTTCTGGTGGTTTATCGAAGAGTTTCATGGGGTTTTTTCTGCCCAAGATGGCTTTGAACCGTGATCCTCAGATCTCAGCCTCTTCAATAGGTAGGATTACAGGAGTGAGCCACCAGTGCCCAGCTTCATAATAAATTTGTTTTTTTTTGTCGGTCGTGGGGCTTGAACTCTGGGCCTGGGCGCTGTCCCTCAGCTCTTCAGCTCAAGGCGAACACTCTACCACTTAAGCTACAGCGTCACTTCCGGTTTTCTGGTGGTTTATTGGAGATAGGAGTCTCACGGTCTCTCCTGCCCGGGCTGGCTTTGAACCGCGATCCTCAGATCTCAGCCTCCTGAGTAGCTAGGATTATAGGTGTGAGCCACCAGCGCCCGGCTCATAATAAAATTTTTAAAGATAGATTCTGAGCAAAACCTTGCTTCTCCCATCCTCAGCCTCCTCTATGGGTTGCCATTTTCAGTAGTTTGTGTACTATTGCTTATTGTAAGGTAGGAAGGCAAATATGTGCATACATCTCAAACACCTCTTCTTTTTCAATTAGGAAGAAATATGTTCTGTAGAACAACTATCCCTGACTTGCTGGCCTCCTGGACAGAGCTCTTGCAATTTTCACATTGGAAGTCTGCCACCCTTGCCGACTACTATCTCTCTGTCTTTGGAGATTAAAGGCAGTCCTCCAGCTAGATGGCAGAATTTCCATAAGCCCTAAATACAGGATTCCTGCCTAGCACCAGATCATCTTTAACAGGCCCATGAAAATCCCTGAACTCCCGGGGCTGGGAAGGTGGCTCAGTGGTAGAGCGCTTGCCTTGCACGCATGAGGCCCTGGGTTCAATTCCTCAGCACCACATAAACAAAAAGAAAAAAAAAGCCGGAAGTGGCACTGTGGCTCAAGTGGTAGAGTGCTAGCCTTGAGCTGAAGAGCTGAGGGACGGCGCCCAGGCCCAGAGTTCAGGCCCCACAACTGGACCCAAAAAAAAAAAAAGAAAGTCCCTGAACTCCCAATGCTGACAACTCTGATGAGCAGGCAGGCTGTGTTTCCTCAGTTGGCCATTGTGGAGAAATCGTCTTCGTACATGCAGCTTGGTCTGTGGAGTCCCTTTACCTGCTCAGATCATTGCAGGCAGTTGCTTTTATAGGTACCACTACAACAGCCATCATTCATGGAGGAAAAAACAACCCATCATGAGCCAGACACGTGAGGCTTATGTCTGTCATTCTAGCTACTGAGAGGATTTGAGGATTGAAGTTCAAAGCCAGCCCAGAAAGACAAATCTCAATTAATCCCCAAGTTAGGCACTAGTGGCTCAAGGCTATAATCTTAGCTACTCAGGAGGCTGAGGCTAATGGTTTGAACCCAGCCCATGCAGGAAATTCTTCCAGACTCTTATCTCTAATTAGTCACCAAAGACCTACAAGTAGAACTGTGGTTCAAATGGTACAGCAAAAAGTATACAGACAGTGCCCAGGCCACGAGTTCAAACCCCAGGAACAGCACCATTCCCAAGGAGAAAAAAAAAGTGTGTGTGTATATATATATGTATATATGTACGTGTACATATACACACATATGCATAATCGTACATATTAATAGCTATTCACCAACTGCTTAATAAATTCTTGGTAAATAGACCCTTGTACGAACACATATGGAAGAAAAGGGGTTAACTGACTTATCTTGGATCAAGATAAACAAGATGTGAGATATATGTACATATATGCACAAAGGTGATTCTAACTACAGAATTTAGAAAAGTAAGAGTGTAAGTAATTTTAAAATACATTTTGTGGGCTGGGAAGGTGGCTCAGTGGTAGAGTGCTTGCCTTGCATGCATGAGGCCCTGGGTTCGATTCCTCAGCACCACATAAGCAAAAAAAAAAAAAAAAAAAATGCATTTTGTTGTTTTTTCACCAGTCCTGGGGGATTGAACTCAGGGACTGGACACTGTCCCTAAACCTCCCTGTGCTCAAGGTAAGCTCGCTACCACTTAAGCCACAGTGCCACTTCTGGCTTTTTCTGTGTATGTGGTACTGAGGAATCAAACACTGGGCTTCATGCATGCTAGGCAAGCACTCTACCACTGAGCCATCTTCCCAGCCTTTTTTTGGGGGGGAGTCCAGTTGTGGACCTGAACTCTGGGCCTGAGCGCTGTCCCTCAGCTCTTCAGCTCAAGGCCAGCACTCTACCACTTGAGCCACAGCGCCACTTCTGGCTTTTTTGTTTTCTGCTTATGTGGTGCTGAGGAATCGAACCCAGGGCCTCATGCATACAAGGCAAGCGCTCTACCACTGAGCCACCTTCCCAGCCCCAGCCCTTTTTTTTGTACTCATCCTGGGGCTTGACCTCAGGACCTGGGCACTATCCCTGAGCTTTTGTGCCCAAGGCTAGTGATACATCACTTTGAGCCATAGCACCATTTCCTGGAGCTAATAGTCTTACAGGCCAGATGCTGGTGGGTCACACCTGTAATCCTGGCTACACATAAGGCTGAGATCTGAGGATTGCGGTTCAAAGCCAGCTAGGACAGGAAAGTCTGTTAGACTCCTGTCTCCAGCTTACCATCAGAACACTGGAAGTGGTGCTGCGGCCCAGGCCATGAGTTCAAGCTCCACAACTAAACCACAAAAAAAAAAAAAAAAAGTGGCTCAGTGGTAGAGCGCTTGCCTTGCATGCCTGAGGCCCTGGGTTCGATTCCTCAGCACCACATAAGCAAAAAGAAAAAAGCCGGAAGTGGCGCTGTGGCTCAAGTGGTAGAGCACTAGCCTTGAGCTGAAGAGCTGAGGGACAGCGCCCAGGCCCAGAGTTCAGGCCCCACGACTGGACCCAAAAAAAAAAAAAAAGTCTCACAGATTTTGAACTGTGATCTCTGATCTCAACCTCCTGTGTAGCTAATGCCTGGCTAAAATACATTTTAACTATGCATATGTCAATGAAAGCTGTTGAACTGTAATAGGGGTTGGGAATCAGGCAAAAGAAAAAGCAACAGAAAAGCCTATTCTAAGCAAAGGTAATATATGTACGTCTGAAATGTCACGGTCAAAGCCCTTGTGTAATTTGTTGATGTTGGTCCTCGGCACTTTCCCTGAGCTTTCGTGCTCAAGGCTAGTGATCTATCACTTTCAGCCACAGCTCTACTGTTTTTTAGGTGGTTATGGAGATAAGTCTCATAAACTTTCCTAGTGGCCTGGCTTCAAATCATAATCCTCAGATCTTAGCCTCCTAAGTAGCTAGGATTATAGGTGTGACCCACTAGTACCTAGCTCCCTTGGTGTAATTTTAATAAACTGGAAAAAAAAAGAAATTAAAACAGGTTCTGAATATAGTTGAAGCAGTTGTTTGCATGTATGAAGATAGAACATGAAAACTACTGAAATTATTTAAAGGTGGGGGGGAATAATGGGCATGAGACGGACTGGAAAATATTTATGTTTATGTGGCATTATCACAATAAAATGAAATCCTCCTTGTACACCTACTGAATGATTTTTTTTTTTTTAACCTAGATGCCAGTGGATCATTCCTATAACCCTAGTTATCCAGGAGGCTGAAAACCCATAGTTCAAAAGGTAGCCCACGGGAAGGTGGCTTAGGGGTAGAGTGCTTGCCTAGCATGCATGAAGCCCTAGGTTCAATTCCTCAGTACCACATAAATAGAAAAAGCCAGAAGTGGCCCTGTGGCTCAAGTGGTAAAGTGCTAGCCTTGAGCAAAACAAGCACAGGCCCTGAGTTCAATAAAATGCCCAGGCCCTCAGTTCAAGCCCCAGGACTGGCAAAAAAAATAAAGGTAGCCAGGCAGAAAAGTCTGTGAGACTCTATCTCCAATGACCCAGCAAAAGATAGGAGATATAACTCAATGGCAAGAATGCTATCAATGAGAGAAAAAGGCAAAACCCCATGACCCTGAGTTCAAAACCTGCTATCAAGACACACACATAAAAAGGTATCAAGAGCTGGGAAGGTGGCTCAGTGGCAGAGCGCTTGCCTTGCATGCATGAGGCCCTGGGTTCAATTCCTCAGCACCACATAAGCAGGAAAATAAAAATAAAAAGGTATCAAGTGAAACAAGTAAACACTACACATTGCACTTCCAAACCTCTATTGTAAGTAACTCCTTTTTGTTCTTTTCCCTTTTGTTGTTGTTGGTTCTGGGATTGGAAGTCTGGGACTGGGCACTGTCCCTGAGCTCTTTTTCCTCAAGGCTAGCGCTCTACCCTTTGAGCCACAGCTCCACCTCCATCCTTTGTGTGTGTGTGGGGGGGGGGGGGGGGTGTCTGTTTTGTTTTTTTTTTTTTTGGTATAGAGGATCAAACCCAGGACACTGCACTTACTAGGCAATCACTTTGCCACTGAGCTACATCCCAGCACATCTTTTCCTTTTTTTTTTTTTGTCGGTCGTGGGGCTTGAACTCTGGGCCTGGGCGCTGTCCTTGCACTCTTCAGCTCAAGGCGAGCGCTCTACCGCTTGAGCCACAGCGCCACTTCCGGTTTTCTAGTGGTTTATTGGAGTTAAGAGTCTCACGGATGTTCCTGCCCTGGCTGGCTTTGAACCATGATCTCAGATCTCAGCCTCCTGAGTAGCTAGGATGACAGGCGTGAGCCACTGGTGCCCGGCTCTTTTCCTTTTCTTAACAGAACTTGAATTTGAACTCGGGCTCATGCCTGCTTAGCGGACAGCATATCACTTGAGCCATGTCCCCAGCACTATAATTTCTCTATCAGTGAAGTCATTTTGAACAGCTGATCCCAAGGCAATTATTCTGGGTGATATAACCTAATGTCTAACAGGGCTCATAGGAACTTCTTCATGCCTGCCCATCGATTTCAGGGCCTAGTTCTGCAAACTCCAAATATAGGTTGTTTCTTGGCTTTACCAACAAGCAAATGTCAAACACTGCAGCAATAACCATACATTTTAAAATAAAGTCAGATATTCCTTTTCTTAGAATAATTCTAAATCTTTCCCAACATTCTTTTTTGTGTATGTGTTGGCCATGTCCCTGAGCTTCTTTTGCTCAAAGCTACTGCTCTACTACTTGAGCCACAGTGCCACTTCCAGCTTTTTCTCAGTAGTTTATTGGAGATAACACTCTCACAGATCTTTCTGCCCAGGCTGGCTTCAAATCACAATCTTCAGATCTCAGCCTCCTTAGTAGCTAGTTACAGGTGTGAGCCACCAGCACCCAGCTTTATCCCAACATTCTTATTTCTCTTTTTTCCTTTGTGCTGGTCCTGGGGCTGAAACTCAGGGCCTGAGCTTATCTGTTCAAGGCTGGAACTCTACCACTTGATCCACAGCTAACTCACAACTTTTTGGTGGTTAATTCGAGACTAATGGCTTTTCCTGCCCAAACTGATCCTCAGATCTCAGCCTGAGTAGCTAGGATTATAGACATGAGTCACTGGTGCCCAGCCATTCTTAGTTCTTATAAATGATCTCATATAAAATATTAAGGCTGCAGACTTATACTGATATAGGTGAATGGTTTATTCCATGTGAATTTTCTGGTGCTGAGTAAGCCTTGAGCTCCGATTGAAAGCTTTGCCACAGTCATTACATTTGTAAGGCTTCTCTCCAGTGTGAATTCTCTGATGTATAATGAGATGTGAACGCCACCTGAAGATCTTCTCACAGTCATCACATTGGTGCACTTTCTTTACAGTGTTGACTTTTTTACGGCTCACAAAGGTGGACCCTTCAAGAGTGTTCCCAAATTCATAGTACCACTGGGCTCTAGTGTGGATTCTCTGGTGTTCAATGAGGTATGAGCTTCGGCTAAAAGCCTTTCCACATTCACTACACTCATAGGGCTTCACTCCAGCATGAATGATCTGGTGTTGGAAAAGAGTTGAGTTTTGACTAAAGGCTTTCCCACATTCACTACACTTGTAAGGTCTCTCCCCAGTGTGAACCCTCTGGTGGATAGTGAGCTGTGTGCTCATACTGAAAGCTTTTCCACATTGGAGGCATTCATATGGCTTCTCTCCTTTATGGATCCTCTGATGGTAAATGAGGCTGGAACTCTGGCTGAAGGCTTTCCCACAGTCACTGCACACATACGGTTTCTCTCCAGTGTGAATTCGCTGATGTTGAATAAGGTGTGAGCCCTGGACAAAGCCTTTCCCACACTCATCACACTTAAATGGTTTTTCTCCAGTGTGAGTTCTCTGGTGCCGAATCAGCCTTGAGCTACAACCAAAAGCCTTTGTGCACTTGTTGCATTTATAAGGTTTCTCTCCAGTGTGAATCAGTTGATGCTGACTCAGGCGGGAGATCCACCTGAAAGCTTTCCCACACTCCTCACACTTGAAAGGCTTCTCCACATGACTTCTCTGATGTGCAAGAAAGCCTGGACTTTCTGAATCGCTTGTTATTTGCAATTTCTCCCCAGCATGCATCCTCTGATGCTGGGTGAGAGTTGAGCTCTGGCTAAAGGCTTTGCCACACTCTTGGCACGGGTAAGGTCTCTCTCCAGTGTGAATTCTCTGGTGTCGAACCAGCTGTGACTGCTGGCTGAAGGCTTTCCCACAGTCTCGACAACTGTAGGGCCTCTCTCCAGTGTGAATTCTCTGGTGATGGATGAGGCTTGAGCTCTGCCCAAAGGCTTTCCCACATTCCTCACACCTGTAGGGCTTCTCTCCAGTATGAATTCTTTGATGCTGAATAAGTTTTGAGCTTAGGCGGAAGGCTTTTCCACACTCAACACATTTAAATGGTTTCTCTCCAGTGTGTATTCTCTGATGCTGACTGAGCTGGGAGCACAGCCTGAAGACTTTCCCACAATCCTCACACTCATACGGCTTCTCCCCATTGCAGTTACTTGAATAGTTACTCTGTAGGCAGTCAGATAATCTCTCGTAGCATCCTTGACATCTGTTAGGTTTCTCCTGCATGGCTACCTCCCACTGTGAAGCCGGATCTGAAGTAGGTCTGAAACATCTGCCACACACTTCACATCTCTGTGGTGTCCCTTCCACACTGTCTCTCTGTTGTTCATCAAGCTGATAACTCAGGAGGGTCTTTGAAGCCACAGTCTCCTTAGGTAAACAGTGCCTCTGGGAGAGGCAGCCCTTCACTCTCAGCCTATGGCTGCATGGATGACTCCCTAACCAGACCTCAGAACTGGAAGAGTCCCCACAGCCAGGACTTTGTGGTTTGAGAATGCTCATGTGTGCACAGGCCTGCTCACCGTCAGTCCTACTGGCAGAGTCTGAAATAAAATAAAAATGGTTCTTATGTCTTGAGCTCAGAGAAAGGGCAAAGATTACAGCTATCATGGTTAGCACTTCTAGCACGGGTTGAATTGGGCATTGTGACACAGCCCCAGTAGAAATGTGCTACAAAGGCTGGATGCTGTTGGCTTACGGCTGTAATCCTAGCAACTCAGGAGGCTGAGATCTGAGGATCACAGTTCAAAGCCAGCCCAGGCAGGAAAGTCCATGAGACACTTACCTCCAATAAACCACTCAGAAAACAAGTGGCCCAGTGGTTCAAGTGGTAGAGGACTAGCCTTGGGCTGAAGAGCTGAGGGACAGTGGCCAGGCCCAGAGTTCAAGCCCCACAACCAACAAAAACAAAACAAAAAAAGAAATGTGCTACAAAGAAATACTGGGGGAGGGGCTGGGAATGTGGCTCAGTGGTAGAGTGCTTGCTTAGCATGAATGAGGCCTTGGGTTCAATTCCTCAGTACCACATACACAGAAAAGGCCAGGAATGGCTCTGTAGCTCAAGTGAGGGAGCACTAGCCTTGAGCAAAAGCAGCTCAGGGACAATGCCCAGGGAAGAAGAAGACGAAGACGAAGAAGAGGAGGAGGGTGAGGGGGGAAGGGAAAGGGAGAAGAACGGGGAGGGGAGGAAAGAGGAAATAATACTGGAAGAAGGAGAAGAAGAAATAAGAATACTGGAAGGAGAAGAAGGTGGAGGAGGAGGAGGAGCAGACGCAGAAGCAGAAGAAGAAAATAATAATACTGGAAGAGACACCATAATTTATTGTTGTTTATGCCAGTCCTGGGGCTTGAACTCAGGGCCTAGGTATTGTCCCTCAGCTTTGTTGTTCTACACTAGCACTAGCACTCCACCACTTGAGCGATAGCTCTACCTCTGGCTTTTTGGTACTTAATTGGAGATAAGAATCTTACTGACCTTTCTGACTGGGCTGACTTGGAACTGCGGATATCAGCCTCCTGAGTAGCTAGGATTACAGGCGTGAGCTATATAGCCCAGGTTGGCCTTCACATGGAGCTGGGCCCTGAAGACTTCTGGCCACTATAGATGAGAGCTTTGGTTGTTTTTCTTTCTTTAGTTTTTTGTGGAGGTGGTGGTAGTGGCCAGGACAGCGCTGTTGTTGTTGTTGTTTTTTTATTGTGAAAATACTGTACAGAGGGGTTACAATTACATGGGCAAGATGAGTACATTTCTTATCAAGCATTGTGGCCTCCTCCTTTGTTTCCCCTTCCCATCCCTTCCTCCCCCCACCTCCCCGACAGGACAGTGTTTTGATATACCCTAAGCTGGCCTTACACTTGAAATCCTCTTTCCTCAGCCTCCAAAATGAATTATAAGTATGTACTACTAAGCCAGCTCATTTGCTGTTTTTACTCACTTGGATTGTGGTGCTGAGGCAGGGTAGATAAGAAAAAATGAAATATGGGAAATAGAAGAAATTTAGGAATAACACTGTATTAATAAATAGCTTGGTTTTTGTTTTGTTTTTGTCTGTCATGGGGCTTGAATTTTGGGCCTGGGTGCTGTCCCTGAGCTTCTTCAGCTCAAGACAAGCCCTCTAACACTTGAGCCACAGCACTACTTGCAGTTTTCTGGTGGATACTTGGAGATAAGAGTCTTGCAGACTTTCCTGCCTGTACTAGCTTCAAACCTTGATCATCAGATGTCTGCCTCCTGAGTAGCTAAGATTACACGCATGAGCCACTGGCACCTGGTAAGTAGCTTGTTAAAAACATATAAACACTATTTTTCATTTAAACCTTGCATTGCTCATAAACTGCAATGTTTAGTAAAAAAGGAAAAAGAGAAGCTCTCTACCTCTGACCATGTCTGCTACCACAATAACTGGTGTGCTCTAGGATCTGAGCAAGGACATATTAAAGAAACAAACTTATCTTGAGAAATGACTCCTCTTGACACCAAAATATTTAAGGGAGAAACTTACCGTGGGGATGGACCCCTGTCTTGGTGGAGCATATGACAGAAGCCATCCTTGCTTGAAGGGATGTCCAAACATCAATGAGCTAAGTTTAATGAGCAGGCCAACCTCAAATTCTCTGAAGAAACAGTGTAACAACTAAAAATATACTAGGTGTCAGATCAAGAGGGAACAACTTAGTGGCCGGTGGCTCATGCCTGTAATCCTAGCTACTCAGGAGGCTGAGATCTGAGGATCAAGGTTCAAAGCCAGCTTGGACAGGAAAGTTCATGAGACTCTTATCTCTAATTAACCATCAAAAAGCCGGAAGTGGGGCTGTGGCTCAAGTGGTAAAGCTCTAGCCTTGAACAAAAACACTCAAGAGACAGCACCCAGGCCCTGAGTTCAAGCCCCACTACAGTCACACAAATACACATACTGACATATACAAAAAAAAAAAAAAAGGTGGGGGAGCAGGGGAACATTTAAGGTAAATTTGAGCCAGACCTTTTCACTATAACACGACATGAAACACTGACTGCACCGATTATCAGGTGTGCTCACACTCATGTTTGTGTGTACTCTTTATCTTTCCTTATTTTGCTTTACTAATAAACTTTTGGTCTAGGTAATAAACTTTTGGTCTAGGTGTGTCTCAAACTGTTTTTTTTTTTTTGGTCTGTCATGGGGCTTGAACTCACATCATGGGCACTGTCCCTGATCTTTTCTGCTCAAGGCTAGCACTCTACCACATTGAGCCACAGCTCCACTTCTGGTTTTCTAGTGGTTAATAATAGATAACAGTCTCATGAACTTTCCAGCCCAGGTTTGGCTTAGATGTGACCCTCAGCCCTCAGCCTCCTGAGTAGCTAGAATTATAGGCAAAAGCCACCAACACTGGCTCCTCAATAATAATAATACTGGATGTACAAATTTGTGCCTTTGCTATATAAAAATATTAGTAAAATTAGAAACTGGGCAAAATATGCTACTATGTCAAAACCATCTGTTTTACTGAATATATGTATTTTGGGTCCTTGCTATGTGGCTTTGTAGCATCAGATTTGTCTGTTCATTTCCACTGTAGCCAAGTGTGGCCATGGTATTCAATCCAGTTTCATACCGCTTTGAGACCCTACCTATGATTCCTTCTTTCCAACAGTATCTGAGCCTACCTGTCTGAGAAGTCTGTGGTGTTTCTGTTCCTTCTGTTCTCTGTAAATCGAGGACCCATGGATCCTGCCCCTTCTCCAGTCGGGAAATCAGCTCAGGTTTGAAGACCAGGAATCCTGCTGAGACGGCAGCAGAGAAAGAGAAGCTGGAGCATCGCTAGGATTCAGCTTCCCCTGGTTTTCAGGCATGAAGGACACAGGCTGTTACACAGGAAGAGCCTCTGCAGGGAGGTGAGGATCAGAACACATGGCATCCCCATTGTCCAGATCCATCCAGCCCGAGGCTGGACAGCTAGGCACCCTGATTCCCACAATCTCAAGGAGACATTTTCACAAGAGTCTGCAAATGTGGCTTAGTGGTAGAGTTCTTGCCTTGCATGCATGAAGCCCTGGGTTCAATTCCTCAGTACCACATACACAGAAAAAGCCAGAAGTGGCACTGTGGCTCAAATAGAATGCTAGCCTTGAGCTGAAGAGTTAAGGGACAGTGCCCAGGCCCAGAATCCAGGCCCCACAATGGGCAAAAAAAAAAAAAAAGAAATGGACAAATAAAGCAGATTTCTGATTAGAAATCTCTAAGGCCCAGTACTCACACATGGCCTCAAGTTCCTGTGCAAAATACCAACTGGCAGAATGTAGACCCATGGATCATCTGTCCCATGCTACAGAATGGCTCCATACCCTGTAGTAAAAGGTTATCCAATCCAGGATCAAAGGTCTGGAGTCTGAAACTTCCCTGACTTCCTACCATGAGGGAGGCAGGCAGAAAGGTCATAAAGTCTACAGTAACAGGCTCAAGCTTTTGTAGGCAGAACCCACCTATAGAAAAACCATTCTCTTTTAAACAATGAGATGATAACAATTTTTTTTCATTGAAGACAGGTTTTTTAATTTTTTATTCATTTAAACTATTAGCTCCAGGGCTTAACAGAGTATTGATTGGCATATAAACATTATAAATAACAATAAAGCTATAGGTAGAAATAATAAACATTAAAACTTGTAACTTATTATCATAAAAATAAATGTTCTTGTGATAATTTATGAACTCTTTACCTGAATAGCTCTAATTATGATAAATATGTATTGATTAATAGAACTGAGATCGCTACAATTTACTTTGAACATGCCAACCAGGACATGCTTGTAAATGCTAGGTGGATCTTTCTTTAAGCAATGTATTGTGCTAGCTAAAATGAAATAAGCATACAATAAAAAGTAGGAAAAATAAAACATTCTCTTGAAGTGTGGACAGTACAACGAAACATCCTTGTACTGAGCACTGAAGGGAGTCATGGACCTAACAAAGAATATAAGCCCAACCCAATGACACTCAGAATACATGAACTACACCAAAAGGCAGTTTAGAAACGACTAGCTACTTAGAAACTAAATAATGAAAAAATCTCATTCTCTCTATCACTCTCCTTTTCCCCTTTCCTAAACCAATTTCAATAGGTTTCAATATTCTATTTTGTTTTTTCAGTTGGTTGTGGGGCTTGAAGTCAGGGTCTGGATGCTGTCTGAGCTTTTTCCCTCAAAGCTAGTGCTCTCCCACTTTGAGCCACAGTGCCACTCTGATTTTCTGGTGGTTAGGACTTTTCTGCCTGAACTGGCTTCCAACCACCATCCTCTCTCCTCAAATCTCAGCCTCCTGAATAGCTAGGATTACAAGCACAAGCCACTGGCACGTGGCTTGTGTTTTTTTGGTTTTGCTTTTATTTTTTTTGGGGGGGGTGGGAGTTTTGTACTGAGGATCAAACCCGCTTTGCCATTGAGCTATATCTCAGCCTCACTATTCTATTTTTTTTTTTTGGGGGGGGGGTCTGGTCCTGGGGCCTGAAGTCTGAGCCTGGGCGCTGTCCCTCAGCTCCTCAGCTCAAGGCTAGTGCTCTACCACTTGAGCCACAGTGCCACTTCCAGTTTTTTTTTTTTTTTTGCTTATATGGTGCTGAGGCATGAACCCAGAGCCTCATGCATGCAAGGCAATCGCTCTACCACTGAGCCACCTTCCCAGCCCCTCACTATTCTATTTTCATACATGCAAATCTATATCAATCATATTAATCCTCTTTTCCACAAACTAATCACTTAAGGAAAACAGATATTTTTCCAGCTTCCAGAAGTCCACTTAGCCAGAGGCTGTCATACGGGAGTCCTGATACTCTCACAGGTTCAAGATCCAGTTAGCCCACAGAGGTCTGAGCCCTCAGCTTCTACATTCCTTGCTTCTAAGGGAAGCCTGGCAGGGTGGCTGGGAGTCACACAGTGCAGCCTTACCTAGCCCTGCCACACTGCTGTGGTTCTCCAGCATCACTTCCCTGTAGAGCGCCCTCTGACCAGAATCCAAACACTGCCACTCCTCCCGAGAGAAGTGCACAGCCACATCGCCAAATGTCACAGCCTCCTGAAAGGATACAAACCAGCACTCCATGGATCTCTGGGTTCCAGTCTCCATGGTACTGCATCATGTCTATTTCAGGGAGGTCATCACAGGACTAGGCAAGAGTCACCTAGATCCTTTCCATCTAAAATCCTGAGGAGAGGAGGACCTCAAACCATGGTGACTTTACAATCAGAGATAGGCTCACGGCCTTGGGAAGGAGAGCAAAGGGGCTGGTCTGACCCTGGCAGTGGCCACAGTGAGCACTAAGGCTGTGTCTGAGCCCAGGCTCAGTAAAGATTCCCCAAGTAGGAGGTGGAGGCTTCATAAGACAAGTGAGGGAATGGAGACAGCCAGACGTCCTACCATGAGGCTTGCTGGGTAGGCGTCCATTCCTCCTGGTTCCGATACCTGCTGGAAATCACAAAAGATTCGGAGGTCAGGTGCTAGCAGCTTCCTAAATTCTAGGGCAGTCAAGGCAAGTATGGTGTCCCTGCTCCTTTACCTCCAACTGTAGTAGGGACCTGGGGCTGGGTGGAGGCAGCCCTGTACCTGCGTATTTGTCCCATGAAACGTCATTTATCTTTCTGTGCTGAGTGTGTACTTAGGTAGCACTGGAGAGGCAATGATGAATGCATGAGTACCCTGTGTCCATGAGGCATCTGATGGAAGTGATAATCACAGAAACACACAACTATGACAGTGCTGACATAAGTACAGGAAACTATGACCCCACTTCATGGTGAAAACTCTAAGTCTGGGCCAAAGGGATGGTGGTGGGGAAGGCACTCCACCACATGAAGAACAAGTCCAAGACCTGAGGTAGACTGAAATGGTACTGAGTTACCAGTGTATAGCCACAGACAGTAAAATTAGTAGGGAGGTACTCTCCAGTAGACAGGAGCCAGAAGAAAGGATGGCAGGAAAGTGGTCACCAGGGCTGGGAGGGTGGCTCAGTGGTAGAGCGCTAGCCTTGAGATGGAGAGCTGAGGGACAGCGCCCAGGCCCAGAGTTCAGGCCCCACAACCGATGAAAAAGAAAAACAAGAAAAAGAAAAAAGAGAAAAAGAGAGAAAGAGAGAGGGAGAGAAGGAGGTTACCCGATGCAATACCCTACCTGCTCTCCAGCAGGTAAACTCCAGGACAGGTCACTAGGATGGCACCAGCCTCAGAACAGCACAGGAGGAGCCGGCGCCGGTGGCTCACGCCAGTCATCCCAGCTACTCAGGAGGCTGAGACCTGAGGATCGCGGTTCAGAGCCAGCCCGGGCAGGAAAGTCCGTGAGGCTCTGATCCCCATACACCAGTGCAAAACCGGAAGCGGCGCTGTGGCTCACGCGGTGGAGCACTCGCTGGAGCTGACGAGCTGAGGGGCGGCGCCCAGGCCCCGAGTTCAAGCCCCACGACCGACCCCAAGAAACAAAAAAGGAGCAGAAGCGCCGCGGCCGCAGACCCAGGCCGGCCTCGGGCCGGGGATTGGCCCGGGAGAACGGCCACTGGGTCTCGCCTCACTCCGGCGGGCACCGGAACGAGCGGGCGGCCCGGGAAGGGCTGCGCGGCCCCGCCCCGCCCGCCGACCGTGGACAGGCCGGCGGCCCCTCCGCCGCAGAGCGAGGAGCCCGCGGCCCGCGCCCGCCCGCCCGCCCGCCCGCCCGCCACGCCGGCTCACCTCCCGGGGCGGGCCTGGGGACCGCAGACGCGCACGGTCGCCGCGAGGGACCGCGGCCTTCTAGCCCACCGGGGCCCCGCAGGCTTCCGGCCGCTCGATTCGCCAGACCACCGCGGCGGCTCGGTGGCCCTGAGCCCCGCCTCCAGGATTCCGGGCGGGGCCTGGCCGGGGCTCACCGGACTGACGGGCGCACGGCTGAGGGGAAGGGCTCGCGAGAGAGGGCGGGGCCCTGGCGGAGGGGGCGGGGCCGCGGGGCGGGGCCCTGGGGCGGGGCGGGGCCCTGGGGCGGGGCGGGGCCCTGGGGCGGGGCGGGGCCCTGGGGCGGGGCGGGGCCCTGGAGGCAAGGCCGGGCCCGGGGGGCGGGGGGAGAGGCTGGGCCCTGGCGGGGCGGGGCCGGTAGGGGGCAGGGCCCGGGTGGGCGCGGCGCGGCGCGGCGCGGCGCGGCGCGGGAGTCGCAGTCCGGCAGGGTTGTCTGGGGCCGAGGCTAGGCCCACGGTCAGGCTACGTGAGCTGATTCCGGGCTACGGTCGCCAGGACCGGGTCAGGCCCACCTCGGACCCTGAGTGTCGGGTCACTGGTTCCCGGACGCAGCCGCCTGGCCCGCGAGCGACACGCAGACGCCCCCTCCGGGACGTGGGGAGCCGCCAGCCTCAGGGCCCAGGAAGGGTCCACTGCGGCCGCCGGAGCCAGGCGTGCAGAGGACCCCGCAGAGCCTCCTCCCCATCCGACGGCTGCGCTCCTACCCGCAGCCAGGCGCCCCCGCGGTCTTCTCGCCCTGCCTGGGCCTGTGTGGCGCCGGGCACCGGCGCTCAGGAGGGGTGGCTGGCTGGAGGTACCCCGCTCACCGTTCCCGGAACCCGCACTCTACCAGACTAGCGGGGCTCAGTTTCCACTTTCTGGTAACACTAGTGCCAAATTAGTATAGTATCAGAATCGGCTTGCGTCGCCAGTCTGTCTTTAGTGGACTTAAGCCCCGTAGTATAATTGAGATCACCTAAAAAAATTGTGCAAAGCCGGGTGTCGGTGGCTACGCCTGTCTTCCCAGCTTTTGAGGAGGATCTGAGGATCATGGTTCAAAGCCAGCCCGGGCCGGAAACTTTGTGAGACTCTTATCTACAATAAACCACCAGAAAACCGGAAGTGGCTCTGTGGCTCAAGTGGTAGAGCGCTCGCCTTGACCAGCCTTGAGCTGAAGAGCTGAGGGGCAGGCCCAGGCCCAGAGTTCAAGCCCAAAAAAAAAAAAAAAAAAAAAAAAAAAAAAAGGAGGGCTGGGAAGGTGGCTCAGTGGTAGAGCGCTTGCCTTGCATGCATGAGGCCCTGGGTTCGATTCTTCAGCACCACATAAACAAAAAGAAAAAAAGCCGGAAGTGGCACTGTGGCTCACGTGGTAGAGCGCTAGCCTTGAGCTGAAGAGCTGAGGGACAGCGCCCAGGCCAGAGTTCAGGCCCCATGACCAGACCCAAAAAAAAAAAAAAAAGGAACGCACCTGAAGCTCCAGATGTTTTTTAAGATAGCATAGTTAACATAGTTTGCTGCTTGGTCACTTAGCCCGCACATGCTAGCCAATAAGATTGTTACAAGACTTACTAAATGCTAACCAATCATGTAACTGACAAGCTAGGAACCCCCTAACCTCAACCCTATGTCTTATAAAAACCCTGCTAAAAGAAAGGTCGGGGCTCTCAACTCTGACCCGCTGTGTTGGTGATGGTGGTAAGTCCAGCTCCAGCCTTCTTGCATCGGAATCGGCTCCTTGGTGGTCTTTGGGGATCCTCATGTGGGCACAAGACTTTTGCTCAAGGTGAGCGCTCTACCACTTGAGCCAGAGCACCACTTCTGGCTTTTTCAGTGTGTGACATTGAGGAATTGAACCCTGGGCTTCCTGCATGCTAGGCAAGCATTCTACCACGAAGCCACCTTCCCAGGCCTTGATAATTTTTTCTTCCTTTTTGAGATAGCGTTTTGCTCTGTGTGCACCCCAGACTGCCCTGAAGCCTTCACACTCCTGAGCCTCCTAGTTCTCCGATTATAGCTGCGGCCACTGCGTCAGGCCCAAGCGGCCTTAGACCCTGGTTTATTGGAACATCAGTATATGTGACTGTGTGATGTGAGGTACAACTCACATCCGGTCGGGCCGACCACCACAGATCCTGAGTGGCAGGGTTAAGTTCTGTCGAAAATGATCAGGAGGGCTGGGAAGGTGGCTCAGTGGTAGAGTGCTTGCCTAGCTTGCATGAAGCCCTGGGTTCGATTCTTCAGTGCCACATACACGGAGTTGGAGCTGTGGCTCAAGTGCTAGAGTGCTAGCCTTGAGCACAGGGGCTCAGTGACAGTGCCCAGGCCCTGAGTTCAAGCCCAGGACCGGAAAAAAGAAAGATCAGGAACTCAGACCTCTGGCGCTCAGTTTCCCCCAGGCTGACCATAGATCGTAAAGTCCTCCCCGATTCCTAGAGCAGCCCCGGAAGTACGAGCAAAGCCACGGGGAGCGGGGAGTTGGGCTGCAGCTGTTTCCGGCCTTCGTCAGGGTCTGACTGCGCAAGTGCTGCTGACCCAGGCCCGCCCTCTTCCTCTGGCCCCGCCCCCGGCGGGTCGGCGGCCGGTGCGCCTGCGGGTCCTTTTGGGAGGGCGGGACTAAGGTGAATTCCCAGCGGCGGCGCCGCCAGCAGGCGGGCGGGGCGGCCGGGACGGGGACCGCGGGGCGGGCCTCAGCGCGGCGGGAGTGGCGCGCGGGTCCGACGGCTCCCCGGGCTCGGGGGAGGCGGAGTGAGGGCGCTGCCTCCCCGCGCGGGCCGCGGGGGGGCGTCGGCGCAGGGCGGAGGCCGGTCGCAGCGGAGGCCCAGGCCCGTCCTGGGGTGGAGGCCCGGCCCGGGCGGAGGCCGTCCCGGGAACCGGTGCCGGGAGGGGCAGGGCCGCGAAGGGAGCCGCGCGCCGGGCCCGGCACCGCAGACCGCCCGAGCTGCCGGCTGTCCCCCGGGCGGCCCACCCGCGCGCGCGGGGCCGGCGGTGCGGGGAGGGCTGGCTCTGGTCCGGTGACTCCGATGTCCCCGTGGAGCACCCCGGGCCCACGCCTGCCTCCTTTCCGGGCCACCGTCGGCCGTTCCACTCCAGGCAGGAGTGGCCCGCACGGCAGCTAAGCTGTCCAGGCCTGGCTTTTCTGCTCCGGTGTGGACCCAGCACGGGCCTCCGCCCAGTGCTGCACTCAAAGGACGTGTCATTACAGGGAGAGATGCCGCTGACCTTCCAGGATGTGGCCGTGTACTTCTCCCAGGCCGAGGGGCAGCAGCTGGGGCCCCAGCAGCGAGCGCTGTACAGGGACGTGATGCTGGAGAACTACGGGAACATGGCCTCGCTGGGTGAGGACTGCCCTGGTTCCGTCCATATTGGATGTCTCTAGGGGGTTTGGGATCCCAAAGAAGAGGGCCTGCCCTTGTCCCCAGGTACCAGGCTGTTCTCTGTTAAAGGAACATACCCTACGGGAAAGCTGCCTTGTGGCCCAGTTCTAGGGACTTTGTGTAACCCCTCTCCCCCGTGTAAGTCCCTGGCTTCTGATCACTTGCACCCTTGCACTCAGGGAGACCCAGCAGGCAGCGTGCTGTCCCATCTCACCAAAGTCCTCACCCTCAACAGGATTCTCGATCCCTAAGCCAGAGCTGATCTCCCAACTGGAGCAAGGGGAGGAACTATGGGTCCTGGATCTTCTGGGGGCTGAAGAACCAGAGGTCTTGAGAACCTGCCAGACAGGTGAGCATGAGCTGGAATCTGGTCCTGGGAATGGCCTCACAGCTCAAGATGGGCTGAAATGAGGGGAAACAGGGAGGGCAGATAGGGTGATGGTGCTTAGTCCAGTCTCTCCAGGGGCAGACAGTTTCTCATGCACTTGTAGGTATATGCACCTACTTTGAAAGGCTTTGTTGCTCCATTTGCTTTGCTTTCTTTCTTTCTTTCTTTCTTTTTTTGAGTCCGGTCGTGGGGGGTCTGAACTCTGGGCCTGGGCGCTGTCCCTCAGCTCTTCAGTTCAAGGCTGGTGCTCTACCACTTGAGCCACAGTGCCACTTCTGGCTTTTTTCTTTTTGCTTATGTGGTGCTGAGGAATTGAACTCAGGGCATCAGGCATGCAAGACAAGTGCTCTACCACTGAGCCACCTTCCCGGCCCTTGCTTTGCTTTCTAAACAAAACAAAACAAAACAAAAAACAACAGACAGGCACCCGTGGCTCACACTTGAAATCCTAGCTGCTCAATATGCTGAGATCTGAGGATCACAGTTCAAAGCAGCCCTGGCAGGAAAGTCCATGAGACTCTTATCTCCAATTAACCACCAAAAACTGGAAGCGGCGCTATGGCTCAAGTGAGAGTATGTGCTTTGAGCTGAAGAGCTGACAGCACCCAAGCCCAGAGTTCAAGCCCCACAACTGACAAAACAAGTTCTCTGATTATGTCTGTTGTGTTCTAGTGAATATCTTTATGCATATTTGTGCACATTCTATAATACAGCTTCTTGTCCTCCTTTGGCAGCAGGTGCTGGTGCCCTGCTGTGTTCTTTTCTCCTTCATCTTTTGTTTCCTCACCTTCACTTATGGTCAGTAGTGTTTTCTCTTCCTTTTCTTTTTTTTTTTCTTTTTTTTTGGGGGGGGTCCAGTTGTGGGGCCTGAACTCTGGGTCTGGGTGGTGTCCCTCTGCTCTTCAGCTCAAGG